ACGTTGGGAATATAATACCCTACTCCAACTCTCTGCAAGGGCGTTGTGACACCAAGTGCAGGATACTTATATAAAATGCTTAAGGAAAATAAGCACCAGATTAAATTGATGATGTAATTTAGTAGCATTGGTCAAACAGACATTGGTATTTCGGGTTAGCTTTGGCTTTATGGAAAGCTAATGATATATGGACTTAGTAAAAGACGAACATACATGAAATACACTATTGATTCATAACTTCACCCAACGGCTGTCAAGGTCAGCCAGTTTTAAAACCTGTTGTCACAGCAGAGTTGATCAGAAAAGCCCACTAGGTTGGCTGACTTCATGCATTGCTTCCTTGTTAACTCAAACATTCCTGAAACTGATAAGGCATCTTTGGATGCTATGAGTGTTCTTTGGCAAGCACCATGATCACGAAGGAATAAACAGAACCACTAGGAAGATAAGTGAAGGCTGAGATATCATCCCCACCTACTGGCCACTGGTCCCAGGAATGGTATCATTTCTCTCTGAGCCTTCACAAGCAACCACATGACTTGAGAGGAGTGGCAAGAGAGTTAGGAGAGGTGTGCACAACACAGGCAATGGAAATCAGTGGTTTGGCTAGGATGATGAAAATGAGGATGACCATGCAACGGCTAGTCATTGCTGCTCTTGACAGAGCTGCTAAGGCCTCAGGAGAGGATAGTGTAAACAGGATTACAGAACAATTCCTATTGCTAGATATCGCTCTTACAGACATCTACATTCAGCATATTTTAAAACGTGTTTTTACTACGATTATCTCTCCTGAAAACCACCTGGTGGCATAGTTGAAAAGTAGGAACTTACTCTGAGAAGTAGTTTACATGATGACACAAAATTATATGGTTGATATTTCCTTCCATGAATTCAACCAGTTGTTTTGACTTCGTGTATCTGAGGTGAAATTTGATTCCTAATCAGAACTCTGGCCGTTCTAAAACTTCAAGGAGTGGCAAGTGACTATGGAAAGGAAAGAGGTGAAATTTATATTTCAAAAGATGAGAGTAATTATTGGGTGACAGCCTGAGATTCATGGAGTAAAGAAGAAAATAACTCCTTGGGTTTGTGGCTTCTTCCTTATAATGGAACATTCTGAGTGGAGATGTCTTGAGGATAGGAACAATCTACGATTTGGATAGAATTAGAAAAAGAATAGAAACAAGAATAGAGATGGTAAAAGCAGAAAGCAATACTGGTTAGGAATTGAGAAAAAAAAGTGTCTTTGACAGCTGCTTGGCTTTCGGTGTTGGGCAAAACACATAATATCAATGGGAGCCTCAGTGTTCACACGTAAAAAGTGGAATGTTAATAATAATAATATTACCACTTAGGAATGTACTGGAAGATTATGAGAATACTTAAAATTACTGACTAGTAGGAAGTTGGGATTATTATTATTAACATCAGGAGCTACAAGACTTAGAAAAAGAATATCATTGCTTTCTTCTTCACCCAGCAAATCCAGAAAAGCATGCTTGGCTTCTCAGGCAGTGCTTATACTCTGTAGGAAAGAAAGGTGTAGGCCTTCATCTGCTACATCTCATCTCAGAGAACTCAGAGCAGACGCTATACCAGGTCGCAAAGGAAAGTCTAATTTGATGATGGAGAACAAACTAAGTCACATTTATCTAAATAGGTTTTATATTATTCTGGTCACCAAAAAAACAAAACTTTTTGCACTGGAGTGAAGGTTAGCTAAGGCAAGATTCAATAGGCCCTTGGTTTGAATCTAGTCTTTTATTTCAAAATTCAAATAAGGTTCTCTATGGGGAGGTTTTCTTTAAAAAAATCATGTATGTTATGGCGTGGTGTGTTTTATATATATATTATATGGTATATTATATCCAGAAAAGCCATATTCATTATGCTATGAACATCCGTGGTCTATTAACTCTCTGTTTGAATTTCAGTAGTATCATTTATAAAACATGCTGAAAAATAACCATGTTTGCTGAATAAGGAACAGTATCATTTCTTTAATCATACTTGACAATGGCAGGAAAATAGTCAATATACTCACGTTTTCTTTAGCTGTATGAAGTAAAATAAAACAATAAAAGCAATGGAACACTTTCAGAATCACTATGGCATTTTAATCAGTACTTACGGATAGAAGCATAGTAGATTGGGTGCAAGAAAGAGATGTGATGTAGGTATTTCCGCTCATTCTTCCAGCTTGTCTTACAGGTGCTGCCATCAAAAACCTTGGAAATATGGTCATTTATAAGCTCTTCATTTCTTTTCTTTCAATTATTCTCTTATTATGATATTAATGTTTATTTACTTATTTGCATTCTTTTTCTATATGTATATTTTTTAAAAAAGGTACTCTTTGTAAACTGAATACACAGATTGGGTAATATTTTTTTCTGCTCATGATTTCAGCTAATACTACAGTAGAGACATTGTATATCATCTCTCAGAACTGTGCAGCACAGGTTTTGTTTAGATTAGCAGATGGATATCTCACAGACTTTTTATACTGGATCATCAAATGCTACACACATAAACATTTTAGAATCTGTATTCTGATGGTTCACAGTACACATTTGTAAACAGAGTGATTTACTTTATTTTTTATTATTTCTTCTCTCTGAAAGATTGACACAGAGTAATTTTAAAAGAATGTACAATGGTTTATTATAGAGCAATACATGTTTATGTGTAATAGAAGAAATTGAACTGGAGAATAAAATAATAAGCACTCACTTAGAAAAATTGGAAATTTAGGACAGTAATAATAATGTTAAAAAAGTCACATAGTCCCATAGTCCAAAATATCCACTCTTAACATTTTATATCTTTCTTTAATCTATTGTCTATGCAAAATTTAAAAACACCAGCTGTGATTAGATTATATGTGAGTTTACCCTCCCAACTAATAAACAAGCAAAAACTTTGAAATATTTTGCCTTTTTCTCGAAATATTATTAAAGCTATTATGAACCCAAAAATGATTATCAAAAGCTGACATAAGTAGTTAAAGGAATGGTTGCATATGAAAATACTGAGCTCTCCAAACACTATGCACACCTACCTGGAAGTTTGAACAGAGGCATGTGCTGGGACCTTGATTCTAGGGTAGCACAGTGAAAGGGAAGAGATTGGGACTGTGGAGATGGCTGACTGACACTATAAATACCTGACATTATCATTTATATTTTGCTTTGCCCCTGTAATCTGACTCCTCTGCTAGGGGAGAGAGATGAGTTTTGGTCCTATTTATAGCTTGAGGCAATGACAGTGAAAAACAGGTGAAGCTTCCAGTCTTTATCTATTTTGGGATTTCAGAAAAATATCTGTGGTGGCCAGGAATTGCATTTCAGTACTCTCTAAATCTTCCTACAGCTCTAGATTCTGTCAAGTGTAGCTTCTTACATGACGTGACACTGATGATTATTTCCCATCCTCCTGAAACACAGTGAAGTCTTTCAGGTTCTGAAAAGTTAAGACCTCAGGGTTTCACGACATGAGAACAGCTTTCTGTGGTTGAATATGCTGGTATATTTATCAAGTTCTCAAAACACACAACACACACCACACTACACACAAACATTTTCATTAGAAGTATCTTGAATTAGCAGAATTCACTTGAGAATTTATTATATAGTAAATTACTTAAGTCTTACAAAAATTCAACTGCCATCTGAGTGCTCGGTTACCACTACTCTATATATTGTTATAATAAAGAATAATAGCTTCTGCTGGGCGTGGTGGCTCGTGCCTGCAATCTAGCACTCTGGAAGCCCAGGTGGCTGGATTGCTCGAGGTCAGGAGTCGAAACAACCTGAGCAAGAGCAAGACCCCATCTCTACTATACATAGAAAGAATTAATTGGCCAACTAATATATAGAGAAAAATTAGCCAGCATGGTGGCACATGCCTGTAGTCCCAGCTACTCGGAAGGCTGAGGCAGGAGGATTGCTTGAGCCCAGGAGTTTGAGGTTGCTGTGAGCTAGGCTGATGCCATGGCACTCACTTTAGCCTGGGCACAAAGCGAGACTGTGTCTCAAAACAACAAAAAAAATAGAATAATAGCTTTCTTTTGTATAATATTTATGGTATATAACATTTTGCTACTGTTGTTATTTATCCTAATTACAGTCCTGCAAGGCAAGTAATAACCTTATTGCTGCTTCCAAATGAAAAACTGGGATTTGACAATAATCTTGTCCAAATCATCTGCTCGTGACAGAGTCTCACTCTGTCACCCTGGGTAGAGAGCAGTGGCGTCATCATAACTCACTACAACCTCAAACTCCTGGGCTCAAGCAACCTTCCTGACTCAGCCTCCCCTCCACAATGCCCAGCTAATTTTTTCTATTTTTTGTAGAGACAGGGTCTCGCTCTCACTCAGGCTGGTCTCAAACTCCTGGCCTCAAACAATTCTCCTGCCTCAGCCTCCCAGATTGCAAGGATTATAGGCATGTGCCACCACACCCAGCCTATCCTTTCTCTCTTCTCTCTCTCTCTCTTTCTCTTGATCTGTTTTCTTTGGCTGGTTCATGCTACCTGAAACACTTCTCTCCATCCTAGGTCTGCTGTGGGTCCATCTTTTCACTAGATCTCTCTGTGCCTCCCAGAGGCTCCCTTTCCTGCTTTATGATACCATCAGCAAGACCAGACTACCAGCTACTCTCTTTGGTCCTTTTGTTTTTCTTTGTTTTTTCTTCCAAACACCAATTCAAACCAGATCTTTGGTCCTTTTGCCAAAATCTATCCATTGTATTCTGTAACACATACACTGCATTCTAATCTGTATTCTCCATGTGCAAGCAAGTAAGATAGAGAAATTATGGGAGCTGATAAAAGCAAAACAGAAATATAAGACATACCATATTAGTATTGAAATGCAATAATGAAGTATAACATAGGACAGGTGAGCTAATACCTTCCTCAACAGGAAGGGGAAGAAGGTAAGAAGCTAGAATGGCTTCCTGGCAGCTAATTCTGAGTAGTAAGGCGTAACTCACCCCAGAGGCATAGTCACCAGTGATCTGCACTCTCTGAAAATCAGGCACGGTCTGGTAGGTTGGAGATGAAATGCATTCATCAATGTGGGACAGTTTGGTGGAAGATGTTTCACTTAGTGGAATAGACAAATTAACAGTCTTCCGTCCGAAGAAACGCTTTTTTCTGGATTTGAAATTAAAAGTTAAGAGTTTAACTTTGTCTTCTTCAGGAGTTTCATTGTGATAGATGGATGTTTCACTATATAATTTCATTTTGAGGACAAAAAATGAAAATTAAAATGTGGATTGAGTGTCAGAAACAGGATCCAAGCATAATGAGAGGAGCTATCATTGAAGACACGTGATAGTGTCTCCTTCTCCCTAATATAACTTGGAATAGTGGGCCTTAGCAATCATAGCAGAAGGCCTCCAGCATGCCCCCATTCCTCCAGGCAGTCCACTTCTAGCAGAATAGGCCGCCTGGGTACTGCAGCAGACACAGGCTCTGTCAGTTACTACCTGCATCATTTTGTTCATGTTCCTTACACTCTGTGAGCTTCCGTCTCCCCCTCTGAAAAAAATGCTGTAAAAATGGCTACCTTATAGAATTTCTATGAGATTTAATATACATAAAATGCCTAGCACAATACCTGGAACATATAAGTTGTTTGCTATTATTTCCTCAAAAAAACAAGCATGTATTAAGTTTCTGCTTTGACCCAAGTCTTATGTTGGGTCCTGTAAGGGATGCCAGAGGAGGCAGATTGTTGTTCTTCCTTTAAAGACATAACCAAGAGAAACACAGCAGAATGATCTTTCCTCATGAGCATGGTGGGATGGGGGAAGGGCTGGAAGGAGGGGGTTCTAGATAAGATGTCAGTATAGGTTTGAGGACTAAAATATGGCAGATAGTGAATATTAGAGTGGTTCAAATAAAGGAAAATAGAGGGCCTGGCATGGTGGTTCACACTGTAATTACCAGCATTTTGGGAAGCCATGGTGGGAGGATCACTTGAGCCCAGGAGTTCAAGGTTACAGTGAGCTGTGATCATGCCATTGTACTCTAGCCTGGGTGACAGAGTGAGACTCTGTCTCAAAAAATAGACTTCGTGGAGAGGGATCTCTGAAGACTGTTCAGGGGAGACAGTCTGCATCATAGACATAGAATAGGAGGAAACAGAGCTGCATTCCTAAGGCCAGAGGTGATCAGACTGGCTGGAAGGCAGGACTCACCTAAAGGAGCACAACACTAGGTTGGCTAGGGATGGAGTCTGAAGATGAAGGCTCTTGAGTTCCAGTTTATATAACCATTGTGTTTAAGTTGAGTATATTCACAGCAACCATTAGCTCACTTTGGTTTGGAACAAGTGCATAGGCAGCTTGAGTCTTCTTGCTTGGGTGGATAGGGAGGCTTCAACTCAAGGGAGATGTGGATGAGGGTAGGAGGCCCACTGCTTTTTCTTTGTTAGTCATTGGCACCTCACCCTAGTTTATACAGTGTGGGGTGGGGAGAAAGAATTTCCAACCCTGGCAGAGTTCTTCCTCTGAACTGAACCATCATTCAAACAGACTAAACCATATCTTCCCTGACGCTTTCCCCTCCTTTTATGCCAAGGTACTAAGCATTCCCCTTACACCACTTACCTCCTGCCTTCTATGGAGGTGGACAGAGTCTCCAGGTGGAATATATGTTCTTGCATCTCATGGTGAAAAATTGGACACATCTCATCCACGTCAAAAGGGGAGATCTCCTGCCGGCCCCCCTCATCTTTGACTTCAGAGGCAAACACTTTTTCAGCAAAGCTACGTGTTACATCATCAATTTCTAAAAGAGGTTTTCACATATTAGCATTCAAGCCCTTTTCAAAAGTCATCCAAGAGTTTGTGCTATAGTGAAGGCACAGGGCTAAGGGCTGTGCTAGGCGTATGGCTCGCTTTCAGGGTCCCAGAAACACTACAGAGCTCAGTGCCTGCTCTCACTAGAGTGGGTCTCTGTGCGGGCAGTTTGGAAATATTCTCTCAGAAACACAGGGCAGATTCTCACGGCACACTTCAGGAGGGCCCTAGAGATGAGATTGGGCTGTTACAGGACCAGCACTTAATGTAAGACCACCTGTTTCTGGCAAGGCTAAGTTGATTTCATAGTAACCATGCAGCACAGTCCTTCCCAGTAGGTTGGTGGGGTTTGCTGATGGTTTTGGAGATGTAGATAGGGTTATTGGTCCTTAGAGTTTGTCTTCCTAAGGAGAACCAGTGATCCCAGTGATGTAAGTAGCTCTGAGAAATACATGTGTACTTTAAGACTTTTCTGCTTCTTAGGACAGATATTATGTTTCTCTCACACATCAAATCTTGACCAATTGGTGAAATGGTGCTATGTAGGGGAAGGGGACCACTAAAATTTACTACCTAGTATTGGGAGTCCCATTTCTTGTGGACATGGGCTTTCCTTCCATACCATATGAATGACCCTTGGAAAGCCAATTTTACCTTTATGTAGCTTAATTTCTCCATCCTTAAAATGGAGGGAAGAAGGTCACCCTTAGCTTGGCAATGAATGACCCAAGACCCTTAGGAAAGGAGAGAACCAGTTTCATCACATAGGGTGGTGATGGTCATCAAGTATCTGCTTTGCTGTTAAGTTCCACTGTGTTCTCCAGATCTCCAGTTGTTTAAATCCGAATAGTTATTACCTCTAATTTTTTTGGTATTTCCAGAAAAGAGCTGGTGGCAATAATGGCAAACAGCTGTTTGGAGCAATAGTGGAAGACAGAAACATCCCCAACAGGATGACAGAGCAAACTATTAATACATGCAGAGAGAAAGACACCCACAACCCATTAATGTCTATACAGGCCTCTGAAAGTCCATATTTTCAGTTCTTACTTAAGTAGGTGAAATGTATTGAAGCCCCCTGCTCTGCACATACCGACTCCTTTTCCTTCCTCTGGTTCAGTTTCCTCATCTGTAAAGTGGGAATACTAATACCTACCCAACCTCTCCTGCAAGGCTGTTGTGACACCAAGTGAGATAATATATATAAAAATGCCTTAAGGAAAATAAAGCACCAGATTAAATTGAGTGATGTAATTTAGTAGCATTGGTCAAACAGACATTTGGTATTTGGGGTTAGCTTTGGGCTATTATGGAAATGCTAAATGATATATGACTTAGTAAAGACAGAAACATACATTGGAAATTACAGTAATTGATTCATAACTTCACCAACACTGTCAGGTCAGCCAGTTTTAAAAGCCTGGCTTGTCACAGCAGAGTTGACAGAAAAGCCCACTAGGTTGGCTGAACTTCATGCATCTGCTTGCCTTGTTAAACTCAAACACTTCCTGAAACTGAAAAGCATCTTTGGATGCTATGAGTAGTTCTTTGGCAAGCACCATGATCCACGAAGGAATAAACAGAACACTAGGTAAGATACATGTGAAGGCCTGAGAATGCATCCCCACCCTACTGCCAACTGGTCCCCAGGACCGGTATCATTTCTCTCTGAGCTTCACAAGCAAACACATGCACCTTGAGGGAGAGTGGCAAGCAGAAGTTAGGAGAGGTGTCATGCACAACACAGGGCAAATGGAAATCAGCTGGTTGGCTATGATGATGAAAATGAGGATGACCATGCAACTGGCTAGTCATGCTGCGTCTGTGACAAAGCTGCTAGAGGCCTCAGGAAGGATAGTGTAGAAACGGATACCCAGAAACCAAATCCTACTTGCTAGATATCTGGCTCTTACAGAACATACATTCAGCATATTTTAAAACGTTGTTTTTACTACGATTATCTCTCCCTAAACCACTGTGGATAGTTGAAAAGTAGGAACTCTACTCTTGAGAAGTAGTTTACATGATGACCAAAAATTATATGGTTGATATTTCCTTCCACTGAATCAACCAGTTGTTTTGACTTCGTGTATCTGCAGGTGAAATTTGATTCCTAATTCAAGAACTCTGCCTTTCTAAAATACTTCAAGGAGTGGCGGTGACTATGGAAAGGAAAGAGTGAAATTTATATTTCAAAAGATGAGTAGATAATATTTGGTGACAGCCTGAATTCATGGAGTAAAGAAGAAATAACTCCCTTGGGTTTGTTGCTGACTTCCTTTATAATGGAACATCTGAGTGGAGATGTCTTGAGGATAGGACATCTACATTTGGATAGAGATTAGAAAAAAAGAATAGAAACAAGAAGTAGAATGGTAAAGCAGAAAGAATACTGGGTTAGGAATGAGAAAAAAGTGTCTTTGACAGCTGCTTGGCTTGGTGTTGGGCAAACCACATAATAATCAATGGGAGCCTCAGTGTTCATCATCGTAAAAAGGGAATGTTAATAATAATAATATTACCAACTTTAGGGAAGTGTTATGAAGATTAAATGAGAAATACTTAAAAAACTATACAGTACTATGTAGAAGTTGGGGATTATTATTATTAACACAGGAAGTACAAGACTTGAGAAAAAGGAATATCATGCTTTCTTCTTCACCCAGCAAATCCAGAAAAGCATGCTTGCTTCTCAGCAGTGCTTTATTACTCTGTAGGAAAGACAAGGTGTAGGCCTTTCATCTGCTACATCTCATCTCACAGAGGAACTCAGAGGCAGACCTACTACCAGTCAGCAAAAGGAAAAGTCTAATTTGAGATGGAGGGGAACATAAAACTAAAGTCACAGTTTTATCTAAAATAGGTTTTTATATTATCTGGTCACCAAAAATCACAACAAAACTTTTTTGCACTGGAGTTGAAGGTTAGCTAAGGCAAGATTCAATAGGCCCCTTTGGTTAATCTATGTCTTTTATTTCAAAATGTCAAATAAGTTCTCTATGAGGTTTTCTTTAAAAAAAATATGTATGTATGTGCGTGTGTGTGTATATATATATATATTATATGGATATATATATCCAGAAAAGCCATGAGTTCATTATGCTATGAGACATCCGTGGTCATTATTAATCTCTGTTGAATTTCAGTAGTATCATTTAATAAACACTGCTGAAAAATAACCATGTTTCTGAATAAGGAACAGTATCATTTCTTTAATCAATACTCTGACAAATGGCAGGAGAAATAGTCCAAAATACTCACGTTTTTCTTTAGCTGTATGAAGTAAAATAAAACAAGATAAAACATATGAACAACTTTCAGAAATCACAGTGGCTATTTAATCAGTACTTTAGGATAGAAGCATGTAGATTGGTGCAAGAAAGAGATGTGATGGAGGTTATTTCCGCTCATTCTTCCAGCTTGTCTACAGTGTGCTGCCATCAAAAACCTTGGAAATATGGTCATTATACAGCTCTTCATTTTCTTTTTCTTTCTAATATGTCTCTTTAAATTTATATGTATATATATATTTTTTACTTTTGATTTGCATTTCTTTTTTTTTCTATATATGTATATTTTTAAAAAGGTACTCTTTGTAAACTGAATACACAGATTGGGTTAATATTTTTTTCATGCTCATGATTTTCAGCTAATACTACAGCTAGAGACATTGTATATCATCCTTCTCAGAACTGTGGCAGCACAGGTTTTGTTTAGATTAGCAGAGTGGATATCTCACAGACTTTTTATACTGGGATCATCAAAGATGCTACACACATAAAACAATTTTAGAATCTGTATTCTGATGGTTCACAGTACACATTTGTAAACAGAGTGATTTTACTTTATTTTTTATTATTTTTCTTCTCTCTGAGAAGATTGGACACAGAGTAATTTTTAAAAGAATGTTACAATGTTTTATTATAAGAGCAATACATGTTTTATGTGAAATAGAAAGAAATTGAACTGGAGAATAAAAGTAATAAGCACTCACTTAGAAAAATTGGGAAATTTAGGACAGTAATAATAATGTTAAAAAAAGTCACCATAGTCCCATAGTCCAAAAATATCCACTCTTAACATTTTAGTATCTTCTCTTTCAATCTATTGTCTATGCAAAATTTTAAAAACACAGCTGTGATTAGATTATATGTGTAATATTACCCCCTCCCAAAACTAAAAACAAGCAAAAAACTTTGAAATATTTTGCCTTTTTCTGAAATATATTATTAAAGCTATTATGAACCCTAAAAAATGATTATCAAAGCTGACATAAGTAGTTAAAGGAATGGTTGCATATGAAAAATACTGAGCTCTCCAAACACTATGCACACCTACCTGGAAGTTTGAACAGAGGCATTGTTGCTGGGAGCCTTGATTCTAGGGTAGCACAGTAGAAAGGAAGAGATTGGGGACTGTGGAGATGGCTGACTGACACTATAAAATACCCTGACATTCATTTTATTATTTTGCTTTGCCCCCTGTAATCTGACTCCTCTGCTAGGGGAGAGAGATGAGTTTTGGTCCTATTTATAGCTTGAGGCAATTGACAGTGAAAAACAGGTGAAGCTTCCAGTCTTTACTCTATTTTGGGATTTCAGAAAAAATATCTGTGGTGGGCCAGGAATTGCATTTCAGTACTCTCTAAATCTTCCTACAGCTTAGATTCTTGTCAAGTGTAGCTTTCTTACATGACGTGACCACTGATGATTATTTCCCATCCTCCTGAAACACAGTGAAGTCTTTCAGGTTTCTGAAAAGTTAAGATCCTCAGGGTTTCACGACATGAGAACAGCTTTCTGTGGTTGGTGAATATGCTGGTATATTTATCAAGTTCTCAAAGCACACACACACACACACACACATACACACAAACATTTTCATTAGAAGTATCTCTGAATTAGCAGAAATTCACTTGACAGAATTTATTTAATAGTAAATTTACTTAAGGCGACAAAAACTTCAGACGTGGCTCGTAGACTGGCTCGTTACACGTACGCTATATATGTTTATAAGTAAGAGATAATAGCTCTTTGGCGTGTGCGGGGTGGCTCGTGCCTGCAATCTTAGCACTCTGGGAAGCCCAGGTGGGCGGATTGCTCGAGGTCAGGAGTTCGAAACCAACCCTGAGCAAGAGCCAAGACCCCATCTCTACTGATACATAGAAAGAATTAATTGGCCAACTAATATATAGAGACAAAATTAGCCAGCGATGGTGGGCACATGCCTGTAGTCCCAGCTACTCGGAAGGCTGAGGCGAGGAGATTGCTTGAGCCCAGGAGTTTGAGGTTGCTGTGAGCTAGGCTGATGCCAGGCACTCACTTTAGCCTGGCAACAAGAGCAGACTGTGTCTCAACAACAACAACAAAAAAATAGAATAATAGCTTCTTTGTGTATAATATTTTAGTATATAAAACATTTTGCTACTGTTGTTTATTTTATCCTAATTACAGTCCTGCAAGGCAAGTAATAACCTTATTGCTGCTTCCCAAATGAAAAAACTGGGATTCGACAAATATCTTGTCCCAAAGTCATTCGCTCATAAATGCAAGCCAAGGCCCCTCCTGGCACTAGCAATCTCGATGCTCTTCAGCTAATAACACACAGTGCTGGTTAGTATTAAATAGTGATTACTGTCGCGATTACCCCCCCGGGTGTTAGAGAACGAAAGTACTGTGCCTAGACTCAGCCAGATATTTAATTGTAACAGGCTCGACAGTTGAACATAGTAGCGACTGGGACTCGGGGGTGGGTAAGTGGAAATTTCAGAGACGCAAACAGAGTGGTATAGACAAATGTTCTTTTGGTGCGCTGATTATATCTTATATGTCTGTGGAAAATTGCTGACACAGCGCTGTTTGGAGCAAAAAACTGGTACATAGTTTGAGTAAGTAAGCCTCCTGGACCGATTCTCTCAGGGGTTGCACAGTTGTATGCGAACACAGTAATGAACAGAAGGTTACTGAACCAAGACAATATTGTGTTATGTCATGCCAAACTCTTGTGTGACATTCCAGCCTGGAGTTTCCCAGACAGTATCTACAGAATAATGATATGCAAACCAGAGCATTTCTGCTCCATCAAAACTCGCTGCACTCGAAGTAATTGCTGGGCGTATCCGTTTAGTATCAAGTTTACCCCAATTGTGGACCTGATTTCTACTGGGAGGATAGGCCCTACGTGGCGGACTCCAAAGCAGTAAGTTTCCTTTCTTGCTTACAACGAAGAACGCGCTGTGGGTTTGGGCACGAATCGGCTCAGCAAAGAATAGTGGGTAGTAGTCACTTGTGCTATATTCCTTTGCAGCTAGAAGTGGCCATGTATTATAACAAAGTCTACTGGATCATCAAATACCTTCAATCCATGGCATGAGTGGGCAAATGGCACTTGGCTAGGCAGCAATTAACCGACTGCCGCGCCCGCCAAAAAAAAAAAAAGCGTCAGAAAGCTGGAGAGAAACTGCGCGATATCATTATGACACTAAGAGAAAATAAAGTTTCTCAAACCCCAGTGGTATCCTAAGCGCTTCAGTGCCTGGTGGGATCCCCAGGGGCGTGTCCCGAACGAGCGAACTCAGAAGATGCCACGTGGAGACTGCGATCGCGAGGCGAGCCCAGTAAGCCCGCCGCAGTACGAAGTACAGTTCCAGCGGCAAGTACGAAGCGCGTAGCGGACGGCAGGTGCAAGTCATGCCAGCAGTGTTGACTGACAGTATAAAGTTGGAGGGAAGGACATGCAAGAGCAGGGGAAGAGAGCAGCAAAGAAGACCGATGCTAAGGAGTTGTGGTCGCTGGTGAAACCTTCAGCCAATGTGTTGGTTTTTGTGGTTGTGGGTTTTGAGACAGAGTCGCGCTTTGTTGCCCAGGCTGGTGGAGGCCGTCGGCTTCGAGCCTACGCTCACAGCAACCTCAAACGCTGGCTCGAGGCGATCCGTCGCGCGAGCCGCCCGAGCTAGCTGACTACAGCATGGCCCACCGATGCCCGGGCTAATGTGGTTGTTTTGAGGTATATAGATCAGTGCGGGCCAATTGAGTTTCATGATAGAGAGACGGGTCGTGCTCGTGCCGAGGCTGGGTGTTGAACTCCGACCTTGGAAGCAATCCGCCGCACCGTCGCGCTGCCCAGAGAGCGAGACTACAGGGGAGCCACCGCCGCCGGCCTGGAGGCTAAGGATTGTGAATGTAATCATCGATGCATTGGGAACCTAGTGAAATTTTTCAGAAGGTATCGAGTCAGGGTGAACGAATAACATAATAAAAACCAGGATCTGAACCATGGTAGCTGGAGAGCCAAGCCAGCTGTGTGTTGTGTTGAGACAGAGTCTCACTCGGTGGCGCGGCCGGCGTAGCAGCTGCGGTGTCAGCCTGAGCTCACAGCAACTCGGAAACGCCTGCGCGCAAGGAATCCTTCTGCCTCAGCCTCCCGAATAGCTGGGACTACAGGCATGTACCACCATGCCTGGCTAATTTTTTCTATATAGTTTTAGTTGGTCAATTAATTTCTTTCTATTTTTAGTAGAGATGAGGGTCTTGCTCAGGCTGGTTTCAAACTCCTGACCTTGAGTGATCCTCCCACCTCAGCCTCCCAGAGTGCTAGGATTACAGGCGTGAGCCACCACACCCGGCCTATACCAATCACTTTTCATTTATTATCTCATGTATTCTTCACAACAATTCTATGTGGTAAATACTATTATTATCTTCATTTTTTCAACGAAGTAATTGAGGCTCAGAAATATTAAGTGATTGGCCATAGCCATACAGTCAGTATATTGCAGAGTCAGGATTTGAACCTAGAATCATTTGAAGCTGCAGCCTGTTTTCTCTACTTCTGTATCATACCACCTCTCATGTGTCCTATTGGCATTTTAGGAAGATCCCTTTGGCCCCGTGTGTTAGGAGGGAGCAAGACTGTAGACAGGAAGACCAGTTAACAGATCATTTTGAAAATTTTGGTGAAAGATAATGAAGGCTTAAACTGAGTCAATCAGTATAGATTGGAGTGGAAGTGAAAGGTACCACATATCTGTGTGTGTGTGTGTGTGTGTGTGTGTGTGTGTTTAGAACTACCTCTTTACTAGACCAAGACATAAACTAATGGTTTCCAACTTCCTGTACATATTGAAAGCTTTCAATAGAGATCCTTGGATACAAAATATGGTCAAAGTGGCTCAAAAATTAATTTTATGATATAATATTATTCTAAAGTCATGCTTATCTTAAAAGCCTGAAGTTTTCCTTATGGCTATAAAAATACCACCAAGTTAGAAATTATTTTGCTAAGATATACAAATAGAATCAACACAACAGTCCACATAGTTTGTGATTTCTAAACATTTAACCATCAACTGTCTCTGTGAAATGCTGTCATAATCCTTCATAGTTCAGAGAAAGTTCAGATGCCTTCTGTGAAAGCCCAACTTTTCCTCATTTCTACCCTCAAAATTAATTTGTCTTTTCAGAAGTCTTGATGGATGTTTTCTTTGTTTGTCTCTCTCTGTTGCTGCTTGATTTGATAGATTTCATTTTCTAGCTGCACAATAGTCCATTCAATCTCATAATTCTTACTGACCAGGGACACCCAACTAGAAAAGGAAAAATTACTCAATGTGAAATTTATCTTAAAAGATTTTATTTAAAAAATATATATACTGTTCCCTGAGGGCTATAACATTAACCTTCACTTTTAACTTTCTGTATTAAAACTGAGGCACAACTGTGGGAAAGTAGGTAAAGGGTGCAGAGGAGATCTCTGTATTATTTATTACAACTGCGTTTGAATCCACAGTCATCTCAAAATAAAAAATTTAATTTATAAAAAAGCAAATTAGGAATAGCAGGAGAGAGAATTAGTGAGATAGAAGAGACAGGAAAGAGAGATGGAAGATAATATTTAATTGGATTAACAGAAAAGGGAAAATAAGGCACAGGCAATAGTTATAGAAAAATAGTGGAGAAAAGTCTAGAACTGATGAACATAATCCACAGATTCAAGATGCCTTCCCTTTCCCCTGAAAAAAAGAAACCTCTAAGACAAATAAAAAGAAACACATATCTATATTCATAAGATTATATTAACTTGAAGAAAAATGTAAAAGGATGCATAAGAGATTGATAACACTAGGGGAGGTTGGAACAAGAATGATGTGAGTGAAGTAGGGAGGAAGAGTAGGGAAATAGCAAAGCAAAAAAAAATAGAGAACTGACACAAAATTTATGGTTATATTTAGGGATTTGATTAAATGTATATATATATATATGTGTGTATATATGTAGAAGAATTTTTTAAGTATAAATAATAAACTGCAGGACAAATTATCAAGCAAACTATGGCTCTTTTCTGGGTCTTTGTAGTCAGAAAAAAAAAAAAGAAAAAGTATGGAATCTCCTTTCCTACATGATTTTCAGAGCCAGAAATACAGGACTAAAAATAGTACTCCAAGACCAGGATCATTTAGCAT